ACCCCTGGGGGCGCCTTGGTGAATAAAACCTCACCAATTCCCTTCTGTGCCCCTGTGATGAACTTATAGGCAGCCACAAGGTCGCCTCTCAACCTTCTCTTGCGGAGGCTGAATAGATCCAGTTTCTCTAGTCTCTCCTCGTAAGGCTTGGTCTGTAGGCCCTTAACCATATGAGTGGCCCTTCTCTGGACTCTCTCCAGTTGTTGTTCACCAAGTCCCAGAACACTGAAACTGGGGGCGTCCACTGAAATTAGTAGGTGACAGGTTTAAAACTAACATGAGAAAGCACTTTTTATGCGACTTGTGGAATTCATTGCCACGGGAGGTGGTGAAGGGAGATAGCATAGCCAGGTTCAAAGAAGGACTGGATAAATTTATGGACGATAGATCTGTTAATGGTTGTTGAACCGAATGGTTGGAGATGTTTCCTTGGGTATCTCTAACCCTAAAATGGCAGATGCCAGGGAAGGTAATGAATAAGGGATAGATCTAGATGAATCCAGTGCAGTGATCTCCCTCTTTAGAATCCACTTCTGCCACTGCTGGGAAACAAGACATGGGGCTAGGGAGACCATTGGGTCTGGCCCAGGATGGCACTTCTTACGTTTTCACGTTGCTGTAAAATATATGATTCTGTGCCCTGCTGAAATATGGGAATGCAGGCAGGGAATTTGAAGGGACTAGGATGGATTAAATGAATAGGAGTTAAAAAAGTCTTTTATGGTCAACTGATCACAAAATAAACAGAGGCAAGGCACTGGCAGTGCCCTCATCTCCCATGTGCTTCCCTAGGGAACTTCGCAGGGTGTTTTTGGTATTTCTAGCTTTGTGCTACATAGCTGCATGTGAAAGCTTGAAGTAGTACTTTTGGGGACCCTTTAGGTAAATGTTTAACTGGACTCCAGGGCCCAGGTGTCCTCTTCCAGTCCTATGTTCACTCACATACACCATTCACACCAGTGCAAGGTTGTGGAAGGCAATGGAATCACTTCTGATTTGCACCAGCATCGACACCTGTATCAGAGCACCTCATTGACACCCGTGTTATGTCACAGACATCAAAATGAAAAGCAATTATCCCTACGTGGGAAAGCACAACACAGGGCCACCACAATTAGGCAGTAGAAGACCTGAGTACAGAAGCAGCGGCCCCCAACCAAACAATTTTGCACGGGAATAATTAGTACTGGCAAAAGCATACTATTTTGTTGTCCGTCTAGGCTGGGTTTGCACTGGGCATACATTGCTGATACTGGTATTCCTAATGCTTCTAATAGAGACATAGGCATATACCGTCATCTGTTTTGGCCAGGGCCTGGCTCTCATTGCATGGTAGTTAGCCCAAAAGATCCCCCATTTGGGTGAGCTCGCTAAATGCTATTAAGTTGCCACTTCTGCTAGTGGTATTTCCTTTCCTTGATTGGAAAACCAGAGCAGAGAAAGAGGCAGGGGCTACTTGCCCAAGGTCACCCAGTGAGTTAGTTTTCCAGCCAGAAACAGAATCCAAGAGATCTAGGAAGGTGCCCAGTACAGCGAGGGCCCACTGGGACCGAGGGATAGACCCTTCTGGTACCATCACTGGGGTTTGGATCCGTTTCTGAATGCACTGCTGAAAACCACAACGGCTGCAGCATGACCTAAACTGCCCCTGCTGGCGTTCCCTGTTCCCCTGCAGCTGCCGGCATGTGTAATTAAATAATTAATTATCAGTGCACCAATGGGTTTTACTGGCATGTTTACACTCCTATTACTGGTAGTAGGAATGTACTTAGCTTGCACTGGTGCAGCCCGGGAGCAGATGGCCCATCAAACCCCACTGCTTATTTTGTGCATGTGTGCGTATCTGCTTTCTTCATTTTACTTGTTTGCAATGAATTTACAAATCCTTTAAGCACGGAGAATGGTGCCTCCGCCCAGGAGAGACAGATGGATGCAGAGGCATTAGAAAGGCATTCAAAGCAGCTTTTTTGGTTAATATCTTTATATATACGGCTGCAAATGACTCATTACTTTGTTTGACACTCATGCCCTTCTCCCCTTGATGACTTTGCGCAAGAGGCATGCTTCAGCACTCCATTTCCATCTCACAGAAAATGCTAACAAGGTACAAGCGAGACCCCGATACGCAAATGGTGACAGCAGCCCAGAAGCGAGGTCGGCACGAGAGGGATTTATTTTTTCCCTTCTTCTGTGAGGTTTTATTTTAACCTTGCCTCTTGGGAGGAAAACATAACACCTGTAAGGCCAGACTGATCCTACAGCTCATGGAGAACTACAACTTATGTATCGAATTAGTGACTCAGTAATTATAAGGCCACTGCAATCAGCAAGTCTGACCTCCTGGATAACACAGATCATAAGACTTACCCAAATTAATTCTGGTTCAACCTACAGCATAGCTGCTAGAGAACAATATCCCATCTTGATTTGAAAACACCAACTCAACGGCTGAGTGTCTGTGGGCTCTTAACCACCTGTAATGTTTAGGAATAACTGCCTCCCTTTGAAGAGCTTGTGAATCGTTCGGCACTATTTGTTCTGCTCTGTGTTTGAGGAGCCACCAGGGAGCAACTTTACCTATGTGTGTATTTAGTAATCAAAGTTATCTGGAACCCAACTATGGTCTGTGTGGTTCTTGTGCAGGAAATAAAAGACACAACGCTTCCCTACCTTTTCCGAAGTCAGAGCCTCTGTAGCTATGCCCACTATAACCCTAGCAAGCCTCCCGCAGGAGGCCTGCAACCAGTGAATGCCTGGTCTTTCTGGGATGCTTACAGGTTGTAGCAGGAGGGAAAATACTATTGAATGCAACTGCTCCCAGAATTACATGCCACTCTTAAAGAGTAAAGGCAGAATCGGGCCCTTATGAAATAGTGGGCACCACTCTTAAGGAGTAAAGGCAGAATCAGGCCCTTACGAAATAGCGGGCACGTCTACACGTGCATTAATGCGCTTTTCATAATGTGTATTAAATTTAGCACCGCTTCTCAGTAGCTTATTCTACTGTGCATTAGCGTATTAGCATGTTTTTTTACACGCCGCTTTAATGCGCAGTAGAATAGACTACTGCACATTAAAGTGCATGTGTAGACGCACCCAGAATGTGCGAACACACACACACACACACACACACACAAGCACTTTTTGGTGTCAAGAGTCCTTTTGTCTTCTGCAAATATCATGCAATGAGTCACAGCAAGGGGACTCAGGGTTTGTGTGGGGCAGAGATAAATTTGGATCTGCACTTTGGGACACACTGCCTGCCGCTTTGCTTTGTTACAAAAATAAATGTCTATTTTGTGTTAGCTTTCTGCAAGGTCCCGCAAAGTCCTTCCGGCTCCAGCTCCAGTGCGCACATTCTGTCTCGACTTTAATAAATACACACACGGCCAGAAATTGATTTTCTAAAAATGTAATATGCACACAAAAACCAACATGTATAAAATATGTTGGTGTGCGAGGGAACAATTGAATTTCTTTCCTGGCCAAAAATCAATTCTAAAAGAGTATGTAAAAATACAATGGCACTAAACTCCAAATAATTAGGTGATTGTGCTAAGCGAACATCTTATTTAAAAATGGCTCAGCAGCATGCATCTGCAAGACACAATCTAATCAGAATGAAACAGGAAATGTAGCAGTTTCCAGGTGAGTAAGCTGAAATGCAGAAGTCATTGTATGTAGGGGGAAAAAAAATATATCAGGACTGGAAATGACAAGGGGAGGAAGGGAATCGGCTGTACCGACAGGAGTAATAACAACGCATTGCCATCATTATTCCTGAGTGGAAAGCACAGCGAAAAGAATAAAGGGAAACATGAAATTAAATCAAAGATGATTACCAAATAAATGGAAAAAGACCGCCTGTTTTTTTGCAAACCATGTTTTGGCAATAAACCTCAGCTGGAGGAGAGGCAAAGAAATAGGGAAGCACGGATGGAACCATACAGGCGTCGAGTACCCAGGCACCCAACAAATAAACTGAGATTAAGATTTATCGCCACCACCCCTTTCCTGAAACAGAGGAAGAAGAGCTCTGCTGTTGGGGCACTCAACAAGGACTCAGGAGAATTCAGTTCCACTTATAACTCTGCTACCGATTCCCTGTATGACTGCATAGCTGCCTTGATAGCCCTGTGGCTTGGTTCCCTATCAGTAACAGAAGGGAAGCAATCCGTCCCTCGCCTGTTGTTCCTATTTAGATTGTGACAGAGGCTGCATTTATGGATGCTGCCCAGCAGAGTGGAGCCCTGCTTTTGGAATAAATCTTATGAATAGGTCGCCAGTTCACACGATTCAATACACTGTCTCCTGCCATACAAGCCTAGACCACAGGAGTCACTGACTTGAGAATGCAGCAAGTTCTCCTTAGCCACCCTGGACAGTCTCTTGTAAAGCAATGCTGGGGTCAAGCCCCAAGCTCCCAGGAGAGTTGGAATGAAGCACCTGCTCCTCCTTTTTC